ATAAGTGTCATGTAAAAATTAGTTCAGCAAGTGCAAACACAATCTTATTTTGATGATTACATACAACATGACTCTCTTCTTAACAAACTCTAATGTTACCCCAATGTCTAATTGTCTCTCTAACAGGGTAGTTGCATTTTTAGTGCATCATAGGCTCCCATCTAGAAGAACAGCCAGCCACATAGTTTCAGAACCTCAATCAAATTTGAACTACTGCTGTCAAGCATCAGTTGTGAACTGAGTTCCAACTCTAAACTGAATAAAAAAGCTTGAGAAACAAAACCTACCATTAGATTTCTCCTGGGATGCACATCCATCACTGCTCCCTGTGTGCCTTTCCACTCCAGCTGTGATGACAATAACCAGATCACGACTGTCTCTCATTTGGGCTGCCGATAGCATTAACTCCATTGGACCTAGAGGCCCTTCAGGATGTCAAAATGAAGGTGATATAGCATGAGAACAAAAAACTGTCTTTATCTAAACATTTTGCTCATCCAAATGAGCAGACAGTGCAGTAGGATTTGACAGTATAGTAATCTCGAGCTGCCTCGAGTTAAAATTAGTGCTTGGTGAAATATTTTCAATATTGGTATTCAGGTGTTGACATAACACTATGATATTGATTTTCAGTTTTAATGTTTACAAAACTTCATAAGGTTCTCTTTGTTGTAACTGAAAAAAGCAGGTTTGTTTATGTGAAGGTGAATGCAGGTGAAGACTTCTACTTGTGTTATTTTCCTCTTCAGTGGACAATGTGCCAACAGTTTGTCAGAGAAAGATACTTTAACTGTTTCTGGACCAAACATCGGCCTTGCCTATTTAGCCAACAACAACAGCCTTAACGTTAAGCCACTCACATTTCGGAGTAGCAGAGTATAAATTCACAAACTTACTTGCAAATACAAGCAAATGTTTCACATTATATAAATTTTGAATTTCACTGAATTGTCAGTCTATGTAATTCCTTCCCTTGATGAAACACAACAAACACCCAAATACTGATTTCAGTATTCAAATACTGGCACCTCAAACGGTTAACTGGATACTTGAATACATATCCTAGATATATATGAAGCAAGAGAAAAAAACAGCTCTGATTTCAAGGCAAAGATTAATTAAGTGGGGGATTGGAGGTGATTTAAGGTCTGAAAGGATACATCAGTTGAGACCTTCAAACTTCCTGAAATAAAGGGTGCATTGCTCAGCTGTACTTGAGGGATCCTACAAAAAGGGACAATCTTCAGTAACATAACAGCCAAGACAAGAAATGCAGCCTACCATGACTGCATCCTTGACTTTGAGATATTGCTAAAGTCAAGGCTGCAGTCAAGGAAGAAGAGATTTTGCTTGCAACGGTATAAAAAGTCTCCTCTTTAGAACTCACTTATGTGCAATCCAGACAACCTGAGCAGTCTGTATGGACACGTCACGGCATACTAACATAAGCAATGTGACGCATTTAAATCTTATGTGTAAAAACATTATATTAAATTTTGCATTTCATAATGTTTCATCACATGCTCTGGAGCTGTAGCTATGTTTCTGACTTTTTTAATGGTTTTGAACTGGTGCTGCAAGTGAATGAATGTGGGTCATCAAAGGTCTTGAAGCACATAACATTTGAGACCAATTTTTAGAAGCAAAGGGTGCAGAGCCACATCTGCAGAATCCTACAAAACAGGGCAGATTTCAGTGACATAAAGGCCAAACTTGCCTGGAAAACACTGCATTAAAGGTCCTCACGGGCATAAAATTGAATCCTGATTGCGTACCATACCCACAATTCTGAGACTCAACCTGACCCAGGCCCGCATCTATATATCCATCATGCACATATGTATAGGTGAAGTTATGTCAAAAACACAAAAACGGAAATACAAGGTTTTGACTAGACAGGGACAAAAAATACATACAGATCTATAGAAATAAATATATAGACATATCTATATATACTGAGAGATATAGCTACCTAGATTGTCTCCATAAGCAGTCTGGGCTGAAACACTCTTTATAACTTCCATGTAAATGGGCGTGGCTAAACTGCTGTAGGCTGAACAGCAGGAGAAGTTGGAAAATACATCTGCACACACAGCTTGTATAATCTTCGTAGAAAAGCACTGCCAATAGAATGAGATGCTCTGGAGCAGCTGCATGTGAGACTAAGGTCACCACGCCCAATGGCAAGCGTTAGCTAGACGGGTATAAAGCCCCGCAGTACTGGGCTGTGGAGCAGTGGGACTGTGTTCTCTGGAGTGATGGAACTCCATTCAATACATCTGGGATGAGCTGGAGTCAGTTTGTGATCCAGAACTAATATCTAACCTCACAGCAATATTCCAACATCTAGTGTAAAGCCTTCTCAAAAGAGACTGTTACTGCAAATGGGGTACAAACTCTTAATTAAAACCCTTGATTTCAGAAGAAATGTTGAAAATGGATGAGCTGGTGTTTACAAACTTTCGGACTCACATGCAGTGGCGATTCTAAGTTTTTTTTTAGGTGTGGTCATAATGGAACCACATTTCCTGTGCAAGTGGCAAGTAAATGCCTTCAAATTCAGAGACCTCCATAATTATCTCATATCTTTATATACATTTGTCATAAAGAAAAATGATTAAGCATCAACCACACTACTAATAAAGCTCATTCCGCATACTGTATCATTCAGTGTTTCACATTCATTTGCACACATGCTAAAATATCTAATTATGAGGCTAAATCATTTCCCAGGCACCAAACCAGTTCATTAACCTTTTAGTAATGCAAACTTAAATGTGATTAAATACAACTATACTGTTATATATTTTTAAAATATCATGATATTGAAATTTCTCAATATCATTTTTTTGTCCTGTGAATCACAGTCAGCAGCCTTTTTAAAATGCAGCTGCACAATATTCACAATATAAAAATCATGAAAAGTGAACCCAGTAAAGCCACCGGTGTTTAAATAAAGTTATTTAAAACTAAGTTGCCACAGGAATATAAGCTTTGTACCACAGAAGCCCCCCAGTAATGCAAATGCAAACTGTCTGTGTGAACTGCTACCAATACACACTGTGCTGAATGTAAATGAGAGCGGCTGTGGCTAAAGTTTCCCACCAGATGGCCTTGTTGCTGCTTGAATGGAGGCAAGTACCGCAGCTCAAGGGAAGTCTGCATGAAAGAGGTGCGCAGTGTCACAAGTCTGTAAAATGCACTGCATTATATCACATAAGCTTACAAAAGCAACCAAATATACATGTCAATAAATGTAGCTAAACTTAAATATCAGACAATCCACCAGAGGCAAAGGAGTGAAGCTAAATGTAGGCTTTTTTAAGTTTTGGGATTTAAAGGAACAGTTCACTGAATGATCAAATGTACACAATCTTCCCCTTCCTCAAAAGGTGGTCAGCTACTGAAGATATGTTTGGTGTCCAAAGTTTGCTTTTTGAGTTTTGCACTAGAGATACAAGGCCAGGAAGTATATAGCACTGTCCCAATAGGATAGCTTTACACAAGAGGTAATGACCAGTGTTTTTTAGTGATTTTAATCCTGTCAAAATCTGCCAGATGAGTTATTTTTAAGTACTGTGTGCTCACATTAGTAAAAATTCCAAAGGCTTTTACCAACTGTAAAATGAACAGCAGTAACTGTAGGTTATCTTAATCCAGGTAATTTGCTACATTGCTAAATTAGGGGTGCAAAACTCCAGTGCAGTCTGGTAGTGTCCCTACACAAACACACCCACTAAAGCTTCCAATCAACAGACGAGTGTAATCAGGTGTTTCTGAACAGGCAAATCACCAAACTCTGCTGGACACTGGCCCTCCAGGACCGGAGTTGTGCACCCCTGTGCTAAATATTCCTCACATCCTGTGGAAAAGATGGTTTTACAGTTTTTGGAGTACAGAGGCTTGAAGAAGCATATTTACATTCACTGTAGACCAAATTAAGTGTACAAATCTTAACAATAAAACATGTAGAATGACAGAAATGATCACTGACTATGGGTTTTCCAAGTCAATGACAATGCTGAAGACACACTACATTCACTTAAGGCAGCTCGGCAGAGTTAGGGTAAACTAAATTATGATTAAATTAAATACTTTGAGGTTTTCTACTTGTGAGCAGCTGAACATGTCGAGTCATTTCTGTCACTTCTATCAGATTTCCCTGAAACGGCACAGACCATTACGCTGGTATATGCTGGTTTAGCTGGTCACCCCAGCATGGTCATGCTGGATGACCAGCACCTAAAACACAACATGCAGCAATGCAGGTCTGTGCTGTTTTTTCAAGCAGTGTCCCCACCTAGCATGAGTAGGACATAAAACTCAGGTGTCATGTCATAAATTTATATTTCCCCATCTCCTGAACTAAATGATCATGTCCAAATAGTACTTCTGTCACCCATAAACATTGCTGCTGACATACTTGCATAGTTGCAATACTTATTAGCTAAACATCATGTCTCAGTATGTGCTAATGTCCTGGTACAGGCGAAAAAATATAATAACACAATTTGGGCAATGGGACTTCCATTGTTCAGCTTCATTAGCCCCATAACTACAAAACTAAAAAAAAAAAAAATAACACCAAACGTCTTGGCTAACAGATTATATTTACGATAAGGGGGGAAAAACATATGTTTTGGTGAATCACTTTTTTACATTAATTTACATCAGACTATACAGTATCTTTGTCTTAGCTTCAGTGTTTTTAGCTTACTTAACATTTTCTTCTCGAATGTTCTACCAGTTGCCGTTACTACACTGTCCACAAATAACAGGCTGATCACCACAAGCGGTTTCGCCTCCAACCTGTTTGCTAATGAGTTCGTTTGTAGAAGTTAATTAAACGTTTTTGGTTCATATGAACGTCTAGCTGAGGAAAACCGTGTGCAGTAGGAGACGTGTTGAGTATGAGGGTGACCCCGAGGAGGGCTGTGTAGTGGCTGTGCCCGCCCGCCCGCTCTCCCCTATATGGCTTTGGATTAGCTCTATGCTAATGTGCTGGTGAGGAGGAGGGAGAGGAGAGGAGAAGAGAAGCGCCGCGTCGCTGCCAGCGGTGGCTTTCCGGAGTCCAGGCAGGCTCTTCAACAGCCATGGCTGAAGGGGGAGAAGGAGAAGACGAAATTCAGTTCTTACGAACTGTAAGTAAAGACCGTGTTCACGGTTCGGTTCCAGGTTTCTTTGACTGCGGCGTCTTTTAATGCGTCTTCGCGTGTGAGATGGTTAAATAGACGCCCGTTCAGTGCTGAGCCGTCAGATTTTGAGACGTCGAAGGAAACGGTGTTGAATTTTCAGCGCCTAACTTGCTTCATTAGTCTCCTGCTGCATATGTTAAATATACACGAAGGACTTGCCGTGTCGCCGATTATCCCCGTTTTACTTTGACCTGAAACTTGATGCAGGTGGACAGTTTAGGCTCGTATCACACCTGTCGTTCCTGTCGTTCTGCTGCTGGATGTGAATCTAAATGAGTCTTCCTCCATCTGCAGGTGCAGGGCTGACTTTTATGGTGACTGTCCCCTGCAGGCTCATTAAAAAGTTTTTTTGAGTTCTTTGGTGGTTTTGTGGAGAAAATGTGCTCCAGTAGACTACCTGCTGCTTCACAGTTGGGTCTTTGTGTCGTTTTGTAAAAATACCCATGTACGAACCAGGGCCCAGCCGATACGCACATTTTGTGGCTGATAACGATACCCGATAATATTTGCTGATAACATTTTATGTTTTATATTTTAATTTTATACTCTAATAGTTTTAAATTGGAATTTCACTAATATTTCAAACTAATGCATAATTCAATCATTAAAATGCAAACAAAGTCTTTATAGAGGAACTGACTGCAGTGGTGGTGGTGGGAACCAGGGGCTGCAACATCTTCAGTGCAGTTATCCAGAATGACCAGTGAACCTTCATGTGTCATCTAGGTTGTTTAATGCAATGTTGCTAATGGTAAAATAGTGGTAAATCTGAAAAAGAGATTCTTTCAGTCCTATTTTGCCTTACAACGACTTGCGTGCCTCCCTCTGCCATTAATTGATCTAAAAAATAATACACTTTTGGACAAAATCTTGTCCGAAAGCTGTCATAAAACAATGAGTGCATTTACATGCACTTAATAATCCGATAACTGCAGAAAATCAGATTATGTCAGTAATCCTATCAACGCGTTTATATGCACTTGAGTAATCAGATAATAGGAAACTCTGGGTCTACATGAGTCAGGCAGTAATCAGATTTCTGCTTTGCTGCGAGCCAGTAAACTCACAGAAGAAGACGTGACGTAAACACGACGTAAAATCAGTCCTCATGCTGCGGGTTTTTTTAAAAACATCGCGGCACTTTACCTGAAAATATGAACATACATCACTTAGAAGATGAGAAACATTTAAATCCGTCATTTCGCCGAGAATGTAGTTGGTTTCAGCATCGCTGCAAAAGTGTTTTTGCTGCTTGCTTATTTTTTATAGTCTGTTCTGCACACGTGCAGACTGAGAAATTTGAAAGAAATCAGAGTAAGAGTATTCATGCACTGAGAAATCTGATTACTGAGCTAGAATCCAGCTCTCTTTATTGGATTTTTAGGTCGGAGTATGGTGTTTACATGACCATTTGAATAATCGGATAACTGCAGAAATCTGATTATGATTGGATTATTGAGTGCATGTAAATGCGCTCATTGTCTCAGTCATCAGGCATGTAATAACTTTAAGTTAGGTAGCTTTTAGAGGCATTAAATGCTTCAGACATCTGGTTACTGTCAACACCACTGTGAACAATTCTGACTGCTGATGCTTATTAGACTTGAATAAACAACAGAAACAGTGTTAAATAATTTTCATTTTACAGCACTGTGCACAGTTGTTTGGTTTTGGTTTGTGTTAAATAGCTCTTATTTTCGTTATTTTTGAACAGCTTTCTTAATAGAAAAGGCTCTTGGGTTTCAACGTTATTCTCATGCTAAAAGCTAGGTACTGATATGTTTTACCATTCCTTTATGTTTTTGTTAGTTTAACCATGCCTGGGTTTTTTTGTCCAAATTCACCTCTTTGGCTAATCGGCCTGTATTGCTTAGATGTAATTAAATTCAAAGTGCTTCATTATTGTGCGTCTCAGTGGCACAACTGTTTGATGTTTTGCCACATCAATGGAAGCTTGTGGGTTCTAACCCTTCCGATGCCAGGCAAGATGTTTTCGCAGATATCAATCAAACTGTGGGTCATCAATATCTGCTGACATTATTGGCCAACCAGTATGTTGGTCGGGTTTAAGTATGAACTTGACATCAAAGCTCTTTCATGAAAATCTCATCAAAATTCTTATTAGCTCTGTTTGCTAAAAAAATTGTACATTTGTTAGCATGCTGTATTTTTTTTAATATGCGGATGTGTGGAGCAAGTTTCTTTAGCCTTTTTCTATTTCTGTAGCAGGACGAAGATTAATTACAGTGGCTACATAAGACCTGCCATCCCGGTTATCTTTGTAATCGATATAATATGGCCGAGAGCTCTTCTGGTATAAATTACACTCACTGTTGGTTACCCATGAAAATATTGAAACCCATAGGCTATGCACAGACTATTAATATTGGCTGCATATGCTCGGTTCAGTTATCAAACAACTGCTTGCAGTGAATATATCTGTATATGGCAATGCAGCTACTGTATACGTCAGTATTATGTTGCTTGGCTTTTCCTGTAATGGATGTGGCTGTGTTAGACAGCAAGAAAAAGTGGACTATTCAGGTGTGATAAATTTTATTCCGACAAGATTAGCTGTTTAACCTGGCACATTCCCCAGGGTTAATAATTGTCAACTCAAAGTGCTTGGCATGCCTGCTGTGTAGTAACCCACAGATTCCATGTGTCAATGGCATGCTAACAATCTGATGACACTGAAAATTATGAGAGGGTTCTTGAGTGAATTACGACCATGGTGCTCATTAAATACCTCGTGGTCAGCATGGTCATGATCAAAATACATTTTGTATTTGAGTGTATGTGTGTTGTCTTTCAGGTAGTGGAGATGAGGTTTAAGCTCTTAAGGTCTAGGCTACAGACATACTGATGTTTAGGTAAAAAAATTAAGTTAATGACGTTTGATGATATAGTACATCTGAAATGATACACATTGCCTCTTGTGCCGTTGTGGTTCAGTTTTTGCATTACATAGCTAAGGAATACATGTTGGTGTGTTTCATGTCTCAAGAAGATTTTGCCAGGCTCACATTTGCTCTGTGATAATTCATCATGTGAATTTAGGATGCAATCTGGGTCCTAAGTATTTGATGTCTGTAAAAGTACCTACTGCATAGTAGTCTTGCAACCAGTTAAAAATTGTACCAATCTGTTGCGGGACCCTGCACGAAGCAGGTGTGTGTAGTCTCACCTTGCCGTTAAGGTGTTAAAGTGGGAAAGCTGGCAGTGAAGGGCGTGCACATACTAAATGGAAATACTCGTGGGATGTGAGAAGAGCCTGTTCTACCAGTAACCTCTAGACTGGTGTAAAATATGCCTCATTTCTGCCTTTGCTGCTGTATTATTGTGCACACAGATGTGACTCTTTTGGAGTATATTTCCATTTCAGCAGTGTCAGAGGTGTCCTAGATTTTACTCGATTTTACTTGTCAGTGCAGTAAGTGGGTAAATCATTCTGTGACAGGGTGGCAAGATGTGAAAATGTGTATATACAGTTCTGTGCAAATGTCAGAAACCACCCTTCATTTATTTCATTTCCTGTCAAAACAGCTATTAAGTACAAGTTAATCATTTTTCAGGAGATTTCTGCTTAGCAGATATAAAATAATCTACTTGCATAAGGAAGAATTTCCAAAACTAGAGTTCAAAAAATGATTAAAATGTATTTTTTTAAAAAATGACCAACAACCATGCAAGACTTGGTAGACCACCAAAACACCAATCCCCAGGTGTTTCTGTCCATCCTTCCATTGTGAGAAGACAACTCAACACTATGAGTCTAAAAGGATGTGTAACTGTCAAGAAGCTGTTTATGAGAAAAGTAAATAAACAAGAAATTTGCATCAGCAACTTCTTATACTGAACTTTCTTTGAAAAACTGAAAGCGAAACAAGTGGAAGCTGTAAGGAAGGCAAAGTGTGGACACACTAAATACTAAAACATGTTATTACATTTTGTTGTTGATGTTTCTGTGTAATTTTCTGTTAAATATGTTTTCTGCCTTTTTTCCTGACACAGAAAAATAAATAATGTAAAATATGGTTATGTACATATGTAGACAGTTTAAGACAATGGCCGTTTTGACTGGAAATGACATAAATGGAGGGTTTTCTCCAACTTTTGCACATGATTGTATCTTGAAAGATCTTGTCATATAGATTTTTCCTTGCACAATTACAAAAGCACCAGAAAGGTTAGAGAAGGAAAGACATTGTACTGCCTCTGAGCTGAACAGCACCTTTGCTCAGTCCTTGTCTTTGTGGAGTGATTATAGTGACACCTTTAAGCCCAGGTGCTCCCAGCAGTGCCAGTACAGTAGCAGTGGGCTTATTTGGAGTTTATGTTGTTCTGGAAGCCCTGTACGTTCCAAGAGAAGACTCCAGGGTTTAAATTTAGCCTCCTAAAAGCTGATGCTTCCACCACACATATGCACACAGTTCCCTGGCACCAACTTATGGCACATTGCATCAGCTAACTTAACTAGCCACTAACATTTTAACACCATTTTTATTGGGTTTATATGACATGTAGAAATCAACTACTCACTACCACAAAACTTGATAAGATAATCAAGTATAAGTATATAATATAAAATACTCAAATATCCAAGCTGTTTCCTTTGACCAATAGTATGTGTTTATTTCCACTATTAGTTATTATTTGGTATATTGGAGATTTGATTGAATAGGTCAGGAACGTATGTGATTTCTTTTAGTTCTATAGTTTATGGAAGTGTCTGTAGAATTGTGTTATAGAAAGCGCTCAGGAGGCATCACTTGTTCATGTCCCCACCCCTAAAGTGGAAACGCTATATTGGGACTACTGTGTGTCTAAGTCTGCGAAGATCACCACAGTGCCACTACACCGTGATGGTAACACACTACAGTGCTGAGTGTGTCACCTTCGTGACCCAAATTTTTTTCTTTCTTTTTTTGGAAAAGTTTCTGGAA